AAAAATCAAGAAAAACCACGTCATGAACAAAACCAAGATTGGCCTTTTTCTGTTTCTATCTAAACTTCCAAGAATAACAAGAAAGGTTGTCAAACCATTTTTATTTCTCAAAAATATTTCTCCTTCCCTTTTCATGGCATTATCTTTCATTTGCCATTTGTTTATTTATAACACAGCTACAGTTTAAATAGGCAACAGAAGCCATGTAATTACAGAATTTAAAATCAGATACACTGTGTTTTTCAAATCTGACAAAGCAAGCAAACTTCTCTAAAAGCACTTTATGGCTTGAAACGCAAGGTTACATTTTTGGAGTCAGACACTATTCCTGTTATCATCAGCAAGGTCTCACATGTTAAGAAAAGTCTCATTTTATTCTCTTAGCAGGTGCCACCATAAAAATATTTAGCAGCCTCTTATTTTTCACCATTTGTTTTACTGATGGGATTGGTGTTCTGCTCTCCTCAAATTAAGTCTAATTACTACCTCCTTAATAATCATAGTAGGATTTTTTCAACTGATTTTAAAACAGTTGCTCTTCTGTGTTATTTTCCTTTAAAGAAAAAGTCAGTCTTTCATAACATCAGGTCTTCCTGGTCTCTCTGAGAACACTCGTTTAATACATTGCAATGACATTATATCTAGACTGTCTTGTGCATGGTCAGCTAAAGGTCTGCTGGGGTGACTGGGGGAAACACACAGAGCTGGGCCTCTTCCTTCTCTTTCACTCAGGAAAAGTATCATAACTAACTTATGATTAGTAGCAAGCACTGACACTGCATATGCAAACCACAAGGCTATCCTACTCTCTCATGCTGCAAGAATCTGATTATTCTGTAGAAACTGGTATAAGCTCAACCTCAGAGACACACTTTAGAAGATTCAGCAGCTACTCAAAGCTGGAAAATGAAAGTTTAAAATTAAGCAGAGTAAAAAAAAAAAACAACAAAAACCAACTTAATCCTAGGCCTCCTTCATTCCTCTCACCTGAACAGCTCCATTTCCTTCCTGTAAATGCTCCAAGTGTTCCACTGCATGTCTAAAAAAAAATTAAATAAATAATATGTACTTAATGTTTTAGTAGAGCTTTAATGCCAGGTGATGTGTTAGTGTTCAGGACTAAGTGACTGCATAATAACCAGTGACAGAAATTTACAGGCCTTCAATAACTTAATGATTGAGAAAGAACGATGTCTAGGATTAAAGGCAGTTTGATCTGGATTCTGATGAACTAAATGGTAAGGCCAAGCATTTTACTGACATTTTAGACAGGCAGCCTTATTCGGACAGGGCGAGGGGCAGAACCAGCCTCCAAAGCCTTCTGCAAGGGAGCATTCACCAGTGACAGAAATTTACAGGCCTTCAATAACTTAATGATTGAGAAAGAACGATGTCTAGGATTAAAGGCAGTTTGATCTGGATTCTGATGAACTAAATGGTAAGGCCAAGCATTTTACTGACATTTTAGACAGGCAGCCTTATTCGGACAGGGCGAGGGGCAGAACCAGCCTCCAAAGCCTTCTGCAAGGGAGCATTCCACATCACATCACGTTCATCTGAAATTACACAATCAATTTAGCAGCACAGAATATCTGACAGAATAAACATCTTAGAAAAAAGCAAATTTTTTTGGATGCAACGTCTCTAAACTCAGTATCAGATAACATATCATCCATCGCTTGGGCTCTCTCATCTTTTTTTGTGGCAAGTCTGTAGCACATATTTAATCAAATGCTCCAGACAGGAGCTTATTAATACTACTTATCCACTAATGGAGCTATGAACATCACACAATACATAAGTCTTTAGAGCAAGGTATCTAAAACAGGATAAGTAGGATTAAAGTATGCCTTTTTGTGCTAAAAGCAATTTGTTCCCTAGAATTCTTTTCCAACTTGACTTGAAAGATCATTATAAATACGGAAGAAAAGAGCAAGGAAAAAAACAAAATAAAACTGTTCAGACAGTGACACTGTAAAACCATATTTTATTTCAGGGATGTTAAATAATTTATAAGACAACACAACATAGAGTATTTTCCATATGTAATAGTTTATTCATGCCAGAGGACAGAACCAGTTGTAAATAATCAGTGGAAAAGCTTAACACAGTAGCTGCAGAGATAATTCAAACAGCAACAGTAATTAAAAACAAAACCAAAAAAAAACACAAGGAAAATGCTTTCTAACAACAGTAATTTCCATTTAGAATTGCCTTCTATGCTGATCACAAGTGTCTTTAAAACAGAATAAAAGACAGCAGTTAGCACTTCCCAATGGTTAAAAACTATGAGCAAGATTCTGCACTTTAAAAATCACAAAAAGTTATAAATAAAAGCACTGAGTAGGAAACTTGTCAGGTAAAAGTTTAAACAGAAGCAGCCTGACCTGAAGTGCCTGCACTCAGCTAGAAGCAGTATCTGTTCTCAGAACTGGTCTGCATACAAACCAGGACTGGTTTTACCAAAGATATAGACTTTAAAGCAAAGCCAAAGTCTGTGTGGGCATTTCAGTGGGCTCACAAGGCAGCTGACAGCAACTGAAGTTACCATGATTTAGCAGAGCTCAAATAGTACTTGCATACCCTCAGCCCATGGCAAGCATGAGGGATGGCAACAGCCTGTACAGGAGGAGGCTTAATGTAAGCCAAGTTCCATTGCCTTTCCCAGGAACAGAGATCACACGGTGACTTATCTAACATGTGGTAACCTGCCAACCACCGAGACATGAAGGTTGAGTCTATCAACAACCGGTCAACTTTAAGCATTTTTTTGTTCTTGCAGTTCAGATGCAGGTTTAAGCTAAAACTGAAGATCTTAGTCAAACTAAAACAAGTGTCCACATAGGGTTTAGCTCAACTGAATTAGCTTCAAGTTAGTCTTAACCTAAAGAAAGGCTATAGCTAATTCAGCTTTCAACACGATCAAAACAAAATATGTTAAGAATTCCTCTTTAGCTGGAAAAAATGGCTACGCCAGGCAGCTCAAATAAGCCCCATACCCAGTCAAACCTGTCTAAACAGCCTTGTACTGCAGAGCAACTGCACGTAAGGAGAACCAGTACACATGACCACCTCACCAGTTATTGCATCCTCTTCACATGAAAAACCTTGTATCAGAACTCCTGCTACAACACTGTTGAGTGGTGGAGGATGACAACACACAGAGTGAGATAAGCAGAGATGTGGAAGTGAGAGGGCATTTAAGGAACAGAGAGAAGTAGCACCAAAACAGAGGAAGAAAAGCAGATGGCTTACAAGCCATCCCAACAGGCAGCGAGCTACAAGCAGCTGGCTACTCCCCATAGAAGCTTCTGCTCCAGAACAGTCCATGTGCAGAAAAGGACAAAAAGTGTAGGTAGGAGCAGCTATACCCTAGCTAAAACCAGCTGCTGAACGATCACAGGCCCTCAGAGGCTCCAGGAACGAGGAGCTTGACAGTAGGCATTTTTTTCAGTGCTAACACCAGAGGAAGTCAGATTTTAGAGGGGAAAAAAGTGAGCAAATAAGTCCATGCAAGAGAGAGTTTTGATTGTCATTTCTGCTAGCATAATCACTGGTGTGCAGTTCAGGCCATGCCTGGTAAGAATAAATCAATACTACCTTCCTTTGGTGTTTTGTGAATAAATCACTCTGGAAAATACCCTGACCTTGCATCATCAGTTTCCACTTTAAGGGAAGTGAGCTGCTGTCCTTAGGCAATGGCAAAATTATGTGAGGTAGAACATCTCAAGAGAAAAAGAGCATCCTGACTTGATTACCTTGAAATAAGATAGTCCCAACCCATAAAGAATAATGGTTTTTGTAGAATTTTGGGGTGCTCAGATCTATGTCTTCACTTTAGGTTCAGAACATAAAAGTTCTCAAGGGTCCAAATTAGCAAACTATTTCTTCCCATAATAAAAGACTTTGGCATATGAACCATGTAGTCAATAGGTCTGAGGATATCACTGGGTCCGGCAATGACCTACATACACGGAAAGCTTGCAGTACACAGAGACGTAGCAGAACACAAACATTCTGGTAGCTCTTGTCAAACTCTGAAGAATGTACCACAGTAAAATGCAGATGCGACATATTGCATATAATAAAGTTCCAATCCTAGCAACATGTCTGTTCCTAACTAAGAGACAGTTCCACAAAAATGTCACCTCAGTACTCAGCAGCTGTCACCGAGCCAACTGAGTGGGGACAGGAGTTACTAGGGAGGAATAAATCTGTAGTTCCACCCACCTTGAGAACTCTGCATTTGTGGTTCCCATACCTCATCCAAAAAGGATGTTGAACTGCAAAAGAGCCAGTGAACCACCACAGGGACAATCTATAGGCATGAAATAACATCAGTATGGGTAACATTTAAAAAGATGAGGATCCTTCAGACTGCGTATCAAAACCAAAGGGGTAGTACAGGATCTGTACTATAGTGACAACAGGACATGATGCTCACCCTCTGTTTTAATCTAAGAACTAGAAGGCATCAGATACTGCTAGTAAGAACCAGGTTCAAGTCAAAAGCAGGTGCTTCTTTACGCAGGCAAGACTGTGAAACTCCCAAGTAAATGACACTGTAGATTCTAGCAGTTTATTGGAGTTCAGGAAACAACTGGACAAATTCATGGAAGAGAAATCCATCAATAGCTGCCAAATTAAAAAACAAACATACACAAATCCAAACAAAACACTACCCTCTGACTTACCATTCTCCAAATCATAAAATTGCTTAGGAAAAATATTCTGGGAGACCACCACCACCTGTTTAAGAACTGTTAATTTCTTCCCCAGATTTCTCCCCAACTCAAAGCCACTGTCAATGCAAGATAGCAGTCTAGAAAGTAACTGAACTGTAGTGCAACCATTCTTATGTAGGCACCTTTCTTTTCAGCTAATAAAACCCTTCTAAACATGAGCATCATTTTCAATGCGATTGCCCATACATTAATTTCATAACACTTCACTCATTTCCCCTCTCCCTTGCCTTCCCTCTCTCTCTTTTCAGATTAAAGAAAATCCAGATGGGGTGCAGGTGCTGCAAAATGATACGAAGGTACAACAGAACAAGAGCTGCTTAGATTGAATAAAAGAAATGCATTAAAACATGTGCCTGTGCTCCCCTACACCTGTTGCTTAAATTAAGCCTGTTTACAAGGTTGGAACTTTCCCCCTGAAGTTTACAGTAGCTTTAAAGTCATACCAGAGCATAGGTATATTGATTTCCTGTGAGTGTCCTCTTGATTTACTGTAATTGAGGTCAATTCCTATAATTCCTATCCCACAGAAAAATTGTGTGGCATTGAAAACCCATCTTCAGCAAAGCTTTTTCTCACTAGGTAGCATAAGCTTCCCTCAATTCTGTAGAATGAGGAGCACAGACTGTCAGATCCTCCCTCTCTCCTAAGCAATGAAAATGAACTACAGATCCTTGCTTCCATCATAGCTTTTAAATGTACTTAGTTGTGGGAACAATTCCCACATTAAAAGTCTCCCTGAAGAGGAAAACTAGCTAGTTTTAGACAGACAACACTTCAGCCCCACTTGACAGTTACTCTTTCGCCTGGCCACATCTCTAGAACAGGTAAGGAAGTGGGAGAGAAAACTGGTGCTGCAAGAGAAAGAGGAGACAAAAGAGTGGGGCTCTGGAAGAATTAAGTCAAGGAAAAGTTAGGAGCAAGAAGAAAAATTAAGTAAAAAAGGAAAAAGTAGGGGATAAAAATAATTTTTAAAAAAGACAAAACGATAAGATTTGAAAGGAAGAACACCAGGAAAAGAAAAAGGGAGAGATTTCAGCAGCTACATGAGGACATATTAACAATCTATGTAATGACTATTCATTGGTTAATCTACCCTCCCAGAGAAAATAAAAAATAAAGCTAGAAGCATGCAACAGCTAGTACAAGGTTCTGACATCCTCTTTTTTGCTGAATCTCACTACAGGGGTTAGTTATGGTCAGTCCCTGGAGACAGCAGCCTACAGCGTAGTTCAGCATTTCTTCAGTTCAGCTCATTCTCAGGACCCCAGGTAAAGCTTAGTGACACCAGTTCCTCAAGATCTCCAGATTAAAAATTAAGCTTAATAAATATAATTAGAAAAAGGATTAACAGCATAATTAACATTTCCTCTACAAATTTTCCTTACTTCAGCTATATTTTTGATCCAGAAGAAGTACAATCACCTGGATGCATTAATGAAGTAAACAGCTACAAAAACAGTGAGCAAGCCAGCAACAAATTCAAATTCAAAGAGAATAGTGAAATTCAAGAACACAAAGGTGAACTCCAGAAGGAAGAGCTAAACAGAACAGAAAATAAAAATCTGGTAAATAGCACAAAAGAAACTCTCTGGAACCACAGAGGCAATGATTTTCAAGAGGATGGCCTCCTGAACTGCGTTGCAAAGCTTGATGTTGCAGTCAATGGTGGCAACTCCTGCCCTGGAGTGCATCCCACGCTCAATCCCAACACAAACCCAGTGAAAGAAACGAGTGAACAGGGAACATGCAGCCAGTTAGAGTCTTCTTCAGCCAGCACGAGAGACTTTTACAGCACATCAGATGGGTCTGGCCAAGGACTTGACCCAGAGGCAGGCGGGCAGAGGAAGGCAGCCTGCAGTGAGCCAAACAGTATTCAAGACGGGAACTCCCGGTCTGCAGAAGATAGCATCTTTCTCAAAGGAAGTGCAATACTGGAGACACAAGACAATGCCATACAACTGCCAGATATTGATTATCCCCAAAATGGCAATGAAACCAGGAACTATGTTGAAAAAGGTAGCTTTTCAGTCAATTGTGCACATTCAGACCAAAACATTGGCCCTTCAGCAATACAGGATCTGGACCTCTGTGTAACCCCACCTTTGCCTATAAAGGAAAGCAGTATTGAACCTTTCAAAACTGACTCCACAAGTTTGAGTGAGGGCACCCCTGACAGCATCACTGCCGTGGCTGTTACCAAAGTAGCACAGGAACCCACATATCCCAACCACAAAGACATCAATGGAGAAATTGAGGAGGAAGATGCGGAAGTAGCAGCAGCTCTGGCTGCACTGGAAGCTGCAACTGCAGGGGAAGACCTGGAAGATGACGACAAGTACTAGATGAAGGTTTCTTTCTAATACACTGGGTAAGATCTAGACTTTATTTCTGGATCTGTATGAACACATGTACAGCACATGTGGACAGCTGTTATGAACAGCATATATAAAAGGATTTGGGACTAAACTGTCCTTTCAGCTGTGTTATACAGCCTTTTATTTTCTACTGCCTGAGGTACAGAAGTGCTCCCTTGGCTAATGGTAATACTAACTTCTCTCTATGTGGCCAACCAGGAGGGCAAAGCATCATTTCATCCACACAGTATATTGTGCTGTATACCCACTTCACCTGGACTCATGCAAACACCTCCTTTGCTTTTGACCTTCATGAGGGTCTGTGCACACCGCACGTTCCAGGTTCAGAAAAAATTCCATTATTTAAAACAGAACTATGGAAGCCATGGAGCTCACAACCACAGATTTTCATCATGTTACACAAAAAAACCCTCCAAAACCAAAAAACAAACAAACAAAAAAACAACCAAAAAAACCAAACTGACCCAAAATTCTGTGATCTAATGAAGTATGAAATAGGGAAAGCAGCTTGGCTTGCACTTCACTGCAGTTACGGTTCCACTCCAGATTAAGCCTAAATCTGTGCACGTGCAGCTGGGATTAGGATGATAACCTCATCTCTCCCCTTACATCTCCCCTGGACTTTGATAACCCAAGTGACCTGCTTCAGTTCATGAACACAGCAGAAGCCTAGCTAAATCCAAGAGAGTGGGTAACTTTCTATTGGTTTAATTAGCTGAGTAGCTCATGTAAGAATTCCACATGCACTATCAGAGGTGCTCAAGAGGGATCAAAACTCAGTCCTAGCAGTTTGGATAGATTAAAACTGCTGTGAAACTACAGCCTGAGACATCTCAACTCTCTTAAATTTTCTAGACACACATCACTTGCCTTAATAATACAGTTTGCAAAGAGGTTGCGTCTCAAACTTCCCCAGCAAGATGTGCTTTGTTTCAGCAAGAGCTGGTGTGGACTCATCTCTGGCTCTGCTGCAGTCCTTAAACTTACAGCAGGAAAGGGATCAAGCTTCCAAGTTGAATTAAGCACAAGACCTGAAAATATTAGAGCTGCATTCCTGGAGTGTTTACCCTTTGTCTGATCTTCAGACTAGTATACTAACTTTTCTTGTGGGAAGCAAAGGAGATAGAGACCAACTTGGTGCTGCCATTTCATCAAAAGTGGGATCTTAATGGTTGAAGTAGAAGTGCTTGACATTTTCTACTGAAATTTTGTCATTTCTGAGCTGTTATAAACTCTTAACAATTTTTTTAAATCATATTAAAAATCATCTGGTAACTTTTGTGCTTTATGCATTTTCTGATTATATACCAGTTGCACGAAAGACATACTATAAGGTATATCCTTAATTAGATACACGAAAAGCACCAACTCTGTATTTGCCAACAGTATATGCTGAATCCTAATCTAATCATTAACATACATAAGGATCAGAGTATTAGGAGGTGGGTTTTAAGTAATGTACCGATATTTAAATTGTACTTGTTTAAATGTAGACTCCTTATTTTCCTCCAAATACTGGAAGACGAAATCAAAATTTCAGTTTTTCAAAACATGAATGATATCCCTAAGAGCAATTAAAAACCCTAAAATCTTAGCTTCAAGAGAACTAAATTCAGCTAGGTAAAAGTCACTACATTGTAAAATAAAAAATAAAAAAGCTTTATATGTTTTTTTAAGTATTGTAATACTGTTTATAATTTAATTTCTCTACCACTTTCCTACATCAGTAGGCCCTTCTAACCATTTGCATAAGTGCATACAAGTTTATGCACATTTATGTATCAAAGATTACTGCAATATTGAACGACAGTGGAATAGAACTTGCACATTGCATATTACTCATAGTGGTTATGACGGGCCATCGCATCTGCCTGCCTTTATACTGCGAGGGCCCTGAGGGCACCACCAGGCCTGACTGTCCCTGCCCAGCCCCAGGGGCTCCACCTTCCCCATCCAGGGCCCAGGACTTTGTTTCAGGTGCCCTGGGGCCATCAGAACAGACCCCAGATCCCCATAGCCCTGCCCAGCCTGGTCATGGGCCCTGCTGAGCAGGACCTACCTGCAGGCCAACAGCCCAGCCCACCTGCAGCCTGGTCCCAGGGAGGTGCCCGATACCCGGGCCTGGGGCTGCCCCCGAGCCCCCCACCCTGCCCCGCTCCCTGGCTGGGGCGGTGGGACAGGCCCGAGTCGTGAGGCTCAGCCCCGCCATCCCCACGGGAGCCTCCACCGCTCCCCACATCCCAGAGCCAGGGAGCCACCAGCCCCTGCTCTACCATGACATGAACCATGAAAAACAATTTCAGTAAAACAATGTTAAAGAAATAAATGCAACAAATGGCCCAGGGAAAATATCCAATTTTTCAATATCCACTCAATTAGAGTTTTCTAACCTGAACTCCAAGTGCAAATCACAGCAACGTTTTGCCTTGTTCTCCAAGCACTAACACCTGCTAGAGGACAGCCCCTCGTCCCCACGGGATGGTCAAACCCACCTGGTGCCCTGGGCACTCCAAACCAGGCATCTCTTCCAGGGGCAGCTGCCCGCAATCGTGAACCACCGGACTGAAATCCTCTGCAAGAGGTCAGCTGGGCCACAAACATCACATTTCTTGCAGCCCAGGTTTTCATTGCCTTAAATATAAGAAAGGCAAGAGCAGTGTAAAGCAACCATAATCACTGCATCAGAAATAACCGGTCACTGCTTCTCTTCACAAAAACAAACAAACAAACAAAAAAGGCATATGTACCTCTCAAATCTGCAGGACACTGAAAGCTTCTGCAGAATAGACCTATGAGGTATCACCAACATTGACTTCTCTTATCTGCTATCTAAATGTGTCCTGTGCAATTGTGCTTTGTTTGTTGGGGGTTTTTTTAAAATATATATGATTTTTATATTTTTATATTTATACATGTGTTTATTGCCCTTAAGCTCTACCATGTCACAGCCAAACGTCTGAAATTCTTAGCCATTTCTCAGACTGCAGTACACTTTTCACAATAAATGTAAAAGAGAATCAATTATTTCAGAAATAATTTTTAAATACCACACAATTTCCTCCATAGAAACCAGCTTTTAAATAACTACGTGAGAACCAAATCTTATTTAGGTCTCTCAGATGCGGATACAAAGAAACACAGTCACTATCAGCTTAATGTCACCATTTTGCTCAAACAATTGTGAGAGTAAAATTTATTATCTTGTGAGAACAGAGAAAATCACAGGAAAAAAGTTACTGGAATCAAGAGTGAACTGTGTATTTTAAGACTTCTTCCAAAAACTACACAGCTTTTAAGACACCTCTTCCTCTCTACCCCAAACACCATCACTTCAGATACCAATCAATTATGTATTCAGAGGGCTCACCTATGAAATGGACCTTAAATGTTTCAGTTTTCCTTTGATATAAAAGGAATTAATGAGGGAGCTGATTGGCCAATATCTATTTTAAAGTTTCTATATTTGATGTAATTCTATATAAGTGAGTGTGAAAACATATGCGGCAATCAAGAACAGGCAACAGGATGGGAAACTATTATAAGAGCTGGTATTTCTATGAAATACTTTGCATCTTGGAAGTTTGTGTTTTACTCATTATTCTCCAAAGCTAGTAATCCATCTTAAAAAGAAATTGTAATCTTTCTGTATATAAGCAAAGAGACATTGAGTAAGAGTAACCTCAGCACCTCCTCAATTAGCAGTGGGTCACCACTGGATTACGAAAAAATTTTCAGATCACTGCAGAGATTCCAGATACGACAACAGGCGTAGGAGACAGCCCAGTCCACCCAACTCAAGGAAGTTAATTATTTCCTAGAGAAATGTTATGGAGGAAGTCTGTTTAAAAGCAAGAGGAGATCTGAAACTTGATACTGTAGAATTCTTCAGTTCAGAAAAAAAATAAAAAATAAAAAACCCAACCAACCCTAACAAGAAAGTAGGAACCTAGAAACAGATAAATTCCACGAGGATTTTTTTTTTTTCTCCTTTGAAAGAACAAAGGCAAATTGGCTAGGCAAGTGTTGCTATGGAGGCTTCCCATTAAAAATTAAAATCCAGAAAGTCTCTTTTTTTCCCAAAAGATACTTCAGATTTGATTGCTTTACAGTAATCTAAAAATACCAATTTTATAATAACTTAAATCATGAAACAAGAAACACTGACTTAAAAAAATTTAAAAATTAATCTTGATCTCACGCTGTATTTGTAGTTTCAATTTCCTAAATGCGATTTAATTTTCCAAAAGATTAATTCTTGCTGATGTATCACATTTTGCTAAACGAGAATAGAATATCTCAACATTTATTAATGTCTGTGTATATGGGATTTCTTACATTTATTCAAATACCTACATTGTACATTTCAGTTACATTGAAACAATGAATCTTAATAAATTATTTCTCTTGAATTGTGATACTTCTTGCATGTAGATGGGAATTGGAATCCAACTAAATTGCACAAGAGCATCACTTCAAAATTAAACATATTAGAACTTCTTTAACATGCTAAATATACAAGAAAGTAAATTTATCAAAGTCATCCTACATTAAAAACTAATTTATTTTTAAAGGAAATTTTATCAACAGAATTGTTTCAGACACTGTGTGCTTCTAGGTTTTAGAACACTTATATCATACAATGCTTAAGACTAATTGTTAGAAGCAGATCAAGACCTTTTCATTGGTCTTTCCAACACAAACTGCCCTTGGCAAACAAAATGAAACCAAAACAGAAACTCCTTAGCTCCATCCCTGGCCAGGCTTTCCAAGTTTCATGCGTTCACATACATAGCTACAGACCTCAGTCTCAGGACTCCCTTCTCCATTAACAGTTTCACTTAGCACCTCAGGGAGGTTTGTTTTTAAACTTTACTTCATTTTAATCCTTCACAATAATTTTCTAAACTTCAGATCAGGCAACCCTTGAATAGAACTAGTTGGATAAAGAGAAAACAGGAAATGCTACC